TGGTACAAAGCTGTTACATCGATCCACAAGTGGGTGGGATTGGAGAAATTATATGCAATGTCGGAGTCAAAGTTGACAAAGGAGAAAAGGATGTGGTATTTTAATAAGCTCTACATTCTGGACAGAAAGCCACAGCAGCAGCTGCTCGGACTATCAAGATTACAGGATGCTTTGTGGCTGAAGTGGTTTGTAATTGACCAGTATTTGCAGATCATTCGTGAAGAAGCTGCTACAATAATGGACGAGTTTAAAATAGACGATCACAAGCTCGGGGAAAAAGGGAATTTTCTGAAGTGGTACGACGAGATGCGCGTTAACTGCAACTTGAAGATATACCAGCCACTATAGCTATATGATTGTCTCAACTTCACATACTCGACAGAACCAGAGAACTGGTTTGAAAAAGAACAATCTGGCCGGAGAATAATTTACAGGTAAGCTTTCATGATTTCTGGATAACTATAATGTGTTCTTAGGTTCTTATTGAGCTTAAGAACCAGTGGAAGAGATGCTTTCGTAGAAAAACCATCATTCGGAACCACAGATGTGGAGTAATATGCACCAGCAACTCTCTGTGTTCGAACGCGCACTATCTGTTTTGGATTGATTTCCCGAACAGAGTAGTTCCATCATGGGAGGCAAAACTGTTCAAGAACCATAGTGCAGATCGACGCACTGTTCTTTGGAGGTTGGAGGAGGTGCACAAGAGTATGAAGGGAATATCTCGCAAGAAAGCACAGGGGAGTCAGGTGGCTGTGGCAGGGAGTGGAGGAGGGCCGGGTTTAGGACCAGCAACAATTGTGTTTCCTGCAGACACAGCTAGACTATCAAGACCGATTCCAGTAATGCAACTTAGTGATGTGGTGGCCCCTATTTGGTTGGATATCAAGGATGATCTGGTGCTGTTCACTCCGATAAAATCGATAGTACAAGGGAGCGTGAGTTATAGCTTGCTGTGACGTTGCTGTCCTTGGAAGTCATCTACTTTTGGAAGACATAGAGTCAGCTAGCACTTATGTCATGCTGCAGAAGGTCCTCGAGGAGAAGCAACACCATTCACAGAAGAGTCGGTAACTTTGGCTTTAAACTAGTGGTGATGGACTTACTAAACAACATCTTTGCAACACAAACGACATCTAACACTGGAGAAATGCAGGTTGAGCTAGTGCTGTTTCAGGAATGAATGTGGCAGAGTACCGGTTACATGATGCTGTTTGTGTCCTTAGATATAGTTCCTTCGGTCAGCAAGGTTGCAAGAGTAGTGAAACTGGACATGACTGGTGTCTACAAAGTTTACAGACCTAAAGGATGGGGCTATCGTGATGGAATAAATGTATGATTTCAAGATTTGAACGTGGATGACATATTTCGCGTATGCAGGAGATAATTGTTCAGTTATTGATCTTGCAACATCAAGAGCAGTACATACAATAAATTCTTTGAAATTGATTACGAGTAACATGCTGGTGGATAGACCAGACAAGGATCAGTTATCATGCTGAGTTTTTGGTTTTCAATGGTATTATATCTATTAATTATTATTTGGCAGAGATTGGAACTGGGACTGGAACTACACTGTTGGCAGCTCTTGACTCTGGGAGACATGTGATTGGGATGGAGAAGAACGAAGAATTGACTGATTTTGCGAAACAGAGAATCGCAAGCTCGGGGGCATCACAGGAAATGGGAGAGCAGCTGCAAATTCCCCAGCTGGTTCCGGTTTAGGGTTTAGAGTTTCCCTAGCTGCAAATTCCCCAGAAATTCCCCAGGACTTTCACGAATTTAATAATCTCCATTAACTTCTTGTCGATTCTCTTTTAGAGGCTGAAAGAAGCCATGTGAAACATGATTAAAGCTTTGACGGTACCCAGCTACCCAAAGACGGCAGCTACTACCCGCTTTGTCAGGAGGCCCCTGTTGATGCAAGCGCTGGAAGGCTGGAGAGGTCAAGGAATGTCATGTTGCTGAAGAGGATTTTTTCAAGGTGAATGATCTGCTTCTCAACATACAAGCTGAAGGTGAATACAAAACTATCGATGACTCCCTTGTCTAAATAATCTGTTTTGAAGTCGCAAAGTCTTGGCCCAAATGAGCATAAGCTGGAAAGAGATTTGGGTAATTCGCCAGACAAATTGTTGTGTGACAGGTCAAAAATCCGCAGGTTAGTGAGGTTGGCAATACAGCTGGGAATGCTACCTTCCAGGTTGTTGTGTGCAAAGGATATGATCACTGTACTACTCCATTTGCAGACTGTGTCTGGGATAGCTCCAGTCATGTTGTTGTAGCTGAAGTTGACAACACGACTATTGATTCCAGCATGCTGTGGTATGCTGCCTGTGAAATGTTCTCAGACAGTTCTACAGTATCAGCTGCACTAAAAAGGCTCTCAAATTTCCCCCACCAGTCTGTTCTTTGCAATCTTTAAGTTTTGATCACTGCAGTTGATGGCGAGTTGACCATGAAAGTTGTTGAATGAAAGATCAAAAATGTATAGACTCTTACCAAACTTATGTGAGTCCAGGTTACAGGTCTCTCGTTGCAAAAGGAATGTGGCAGTGAACCCTTGAACCTGTTAAAAATCAAGTCAATTGAGGTCATATTCACGGGAAGTGCAGTTGTTAACATTTTGCCAGTGAAGTAATTACCAGATAAATCCAGCTCAACAAGTTTCCTGCACGTTTATCAACGTAGATGGGTGAAATTACTGTAATCAAGCCAGACGGTTTGGAGATTCTTCAGCTCCCCCATAAATAGTGTGCAATGTGCAATTGAGAAGCTGACCCCCAGCTTGATCTTTCCAAGAATCACTGCAGATCCTCCGAATCATGAATAACGTGTTTCTCACTTCAACTAACACTGCTTCCACTGGCACGTTGTAAACAGGTTGGGACTAAACAATTTTTTTCGTGCCGAAAACTGTCAGCATTTAAAAATCGCAGCAGAGCTCATACAGCTCATTTCCTGAGTATTGATTAGCTCCCTATTAAGGCTTTTCCAGTCATATCAAACAGTCTTCACTGTCTGTTGAATGAAACAATGACTATTGGCATGTCATTTCGAATTGAGAAGCTGACCCCCAACTTGATATTTTCAAGAATCACAACTCCAACTACAGATCCCACTCTGAATCATGTGTTTCTCACCCCATAGACACCATTGTTCCCAGAATCGTTGAGCCGGTAGTGCTGACCTACACTCAAGCGCCACAAGGATCAACTGAGAAGCTCAAACACAGCCTTTCTGGGCTGCTAGGCTACTACCGAGAATGGACGGGACGAATCAGCTCCAAAAACGATCCTCATGTAAGCAGCCGGAGTATCGCATGAGCTTCAAAAACGAAGGCGTCGTTTTTGTGGAGGCGAATGCCGATGACAAGCTCAAAGATCATCTGGAGCGGGATCATGGCGCTCTGGAAGAACTCATGCCGCTCTCAACGTCGTTGCCTCCACCACCTTAACTTCTTCATGTTCAATTAAGTCTCTGATCTGCTTGAATCAATGCTGAAAGATTTTCTTTTACTGCGGGGGCCTTGCGCTTGGTTTGCGAAGGCATCACTATGTCACAGACGCGCATGGATTCGTCACACTTCTCAATAGCTGGGGTCGGTCAACCAGAGGTTTACCATGGTTGACTAAACCCGTTCACGACCGTTCCATGCCCATGCCTAACATCCATAGCCAGCCTTCCTTCGAACACAAAGAGTATCCCGTCACCCGCTTTGCCAGTCCACTTCCCCTGGGACATGAGTTGACTAGAGTTGACTTCACTTTGTCCGCGGAATGCTTTATTTCGTTAAAGTGGGACTTATTCAGTAAAGTGGGACATTAATTAGCATGTGTCCACATGCTATTTCCTAGTACTTAATTAATATTTATTAATATTTCTATCAGTTTTTTAATTTTTTTTTTTATATTTCACAATATTATAACACAAAATCATATGAAAAATTTTTAATTTATAAATTATAAAGTTAAAACTTCAATTTTTTATTGTTGTTATAAAAATGGCATGTGGCCACACACCATAAATGGGATAATGAAAAGTCCCACTTTAACGAAATAAAGCATGCGGAGGAGTTGAACGCCTTGTGCTGCAAGCGAACTCTTCCCATAAATCCTTCACCAAGCACTTGTGGAGATCAGTGACAGTCGCTCGCAATACAACTTGTAACCCTAGAACGGTTCTTCTTTGCCCGATCAACGGAAGGAAAACGCTGGGAGTTCCTGATAGCTTCGTTGGAATGTAGTGTTTCCTGCCGCAACGGACGCCATTGCATCTGAAGATCTGATTCGCAAACCTCTGAGCTACGCAGCGGGGATTCGGGGTCAAAGGCAGGAGATATGGGTGTGACTGTGACCCTGCAGAAAGATTAAACTTGAAAAAGCTTCTGTTTAAGCAAGAAATGAAGAACCCTAAAGGTCCGATCAGTGTGGTGAGCTGCAATAAATAACTCCTTTTTGCATTGAGTCCGACATTTCTTTGGAGCATACAATAGGTCCCATCAAAACATTTAAGTCGAAAAAATTTAGATTGTGCTGTTGTGATGTGAAAAGGGATGGACATAACACTCACGAGCTCGTTCATTGTGTTCCGACTCTTTTTACATGACTCATGACCAGGACCTCCCACGTCAGCTGATCGAGACTGACATCTCGACACTCCCACTCTGGCTCGATCAGCTGAGAGGATGGACTACCCCTCCCACTCAGCCGAAACAGATGGAGAGCAGACTCCCAGTGCAGCGCGATGGCGTTCAAAGGAGTCTCAAGCCAAAGCCTTCGTGAGTATATCAGCCACCATTGCCTCGGTGGGGCAATATTCCAGCAACAACTTTCCATTTTGGACTTGTTCCCGCACGTAGTGGAAACGAATCTCGATGTGTTTCGTCCGAGAATGGAAGCGTGGATTGGCGGCCAGTGCAAGAGCACTTTGGTTGTTTGAGAACATAGGGCCGGTCCAAGCAGGAATCTGGGGCAGGTCCTGGGTCAACCAAATCGCTTCTTTGCTGGCAGCGGTTAGGGCAATGTACTCTGCCTCTGTCGAGGACAGAGCCACCAGCGGCTGGCGCTTACTGCTCCAGGACACAGCAGCCCCATGGAGCAAAAACGCATACCCGGAGGTAGAGCGCCTTGAGTCCTGGTCGCCCGCCCAGTCCGCATCCGAGTACCCATGAAGTTCCTGTGACACAGCAGCGCCATAGTGAAGCTGCAAATGCAAGGTACCTCGAACGTAGCGGAAAATCCGCTTCACAGCTTGCCAATGTGCAGGTCCGGGGTTCTCGAGGAACTGGGAGACCATCCCAACAGCATAGGCGAGATCTGGTCGCGTTCCCAGCATCAAATAAACAAGACTTCCCACAGCTTGACGATATGGCACCGTGGCCATGTACTCTCGTTCTTCCTCTGTGACAGGGGCCATGTCACGGCTGAGTTTGTGATTGACCTCAAGAGGTGTGGCCACGGAAGAGCAGTCCAGCATATTGAAGCGTTCCAAGATCTAGCTCGCCCAGGTCAGACATCTCAAATTCTTCACTAAGCTTCTTTTTCATCTCGTCCAGCAGGTGGCGGGTTTTTGCACCGAGAATGCAGTCGTCAACGTACACAGCAACCAGGAGAAAATCGTCACCACACTTGTACAGGTACACGTTTCCTTCCACTGCAAGAGGAACACACCCCAGGCTCTTGAAGAACGCATCAATGCGTTCAAACCAAACCCTCGGGGATTGTTTAAGCCCATACAGGGCACGATTCAGCTTGCAAACAAGATGTTCCTCACCAGGTTTGACGAATCCAGGTGGTTGCGTGACGTAGACCTCCTCGTTCAACTTGCCATGCAGGAAAGTAGTGCGAACGTCCAACTGGTGCAGTTCCAGGTCGTACTTGGCAAGGATCACTCGCACAGAGGTCAACTTCACAACTGGTGAGGACGTCTCCATGTATTCCAAACCTGGAATCTGGCTGAATCCCCGTGCGACAAACCTGGCCTTGAACTTTGCTACAGTTCCATCAGGTTTGTACTTGACTGTGTAAATCCATTTCGAGCTCACAAGGTGAGCACCTTCAGGTAAGGTTGTCTTTGTCATTGTATTGTTTCGCTCATGCGAATGCATTTCAGCATTCATGGCTTCTCGCCACTGGGCAGCATGAGGTCCAGCTAATGCCTCGTCAACATTCGCTGGAATGGGGATTCGCCCTGGATTAGCAGCCACGAAGTTGGTGCGTTCCTTTCTTTTTAATTTTTCCAAAACTAAAAAAGGGACGAGATTGCTCAGCGTCCAGTTGCAGCCTCGATGGTACGGGAACTCGAGCAGAGCGCCGTGGTTCAGGACGTGCTGGAGGGTGGATCACAGGTGGTGGAACAATTGGAGAGTCTGGGAGAGCTCCCACTGAAGTTGGCGACCTGCTTCCAGCTCCACTGAAGGTGATGATCCACTTCCAGCTCCCAGTGAAGATGAGCCGAGGAAGAACTCAGGAGCAGCTTGAAATTCCTCGTCACCCTCGAAGTAAGTGTTCATCAGCTCTTCAAAGAAGCTAAGTGTTCTCACTGGAAGAGATTCTGGCAGAGGCGTAGCTGGAGGGCGTGGTGGCAGTGCTGGAGGAACCACCACGTTACCACCAGCAGGAGCAAGAGGCAGCAACGGGACTTGAGAAGGAGCTGTAGTCACATGAACTGTGTCCACCAGCTGGAGTTCCACGAAAGTAGGAGCAGGAACTTCAGCGCGAATCCTTGTACAGCTTGCTCTCATCAAAGAGCACATCCCGTCTTTCCAGCAACGTTTTGCACCTTTCATGCCTTCCAAATATCCCAGGAAAATGGATGGCTCCAGCTTTCGGAGTTGCTTGTGTGGAACGTGTGCGTAGGCAAAACAGCCAAAAATGCGGAGATGATCGTAACCAGGTGCGTGACCAGTCCAAAGTTCATAAGGAGTGGTCTTCCCAGGCAGGGCACGTGTTGGCAACCGGTTTCGAACATAAACAGCCGTGTTAACTGCCTCACCCCAGAAAGCAGCCGGCATTCCCGCATGAAGCAGCATACAGCGCGCAGCTTCTATGATGGTGCGATTCACCCTCTCAGCACCACCATTCTGGGCATGTGCATCAGGGACAGCATACAGGGGCTGGATCCCAGCTTCAGCACAAAACGTCTCGAATTCTCCAGACCTCCACGATCTCAGCAGAGCACACGAACTAAACAGCCGTGTAGATTTTCTACCAAAGCCTTGTATTGGCAGAAGCAGGAGAACACCTCTGACTTGTGAGCCAGCAGGTACACGATCAGGTACCGCGTGTAATCATCCAGGAAGGTGACTACGTAACGTTTGCCTCCCAAAGATTCAACCATAATCGAACAAACGTCCGAGTGTACCAACTCAAGAACAGAACTTGCTCGAGAAAGAGAAATCTGTGGAAAAGGAAAAACGACCGCAGAAGGGCAGCGCGCTCCCAGGCGCCACAGGAACATCCACCTTTTTTAGCTGTTGCTCGTTCACGTGACCAAGGCGCTGGTGCCAGGTTGCGAGTGTCGGTGGAACCCGAGCCATCAGCGCCACAGGTGGAAGGATCACGTGAGCATCCAGGCGGTAGAGCGTACCTACTGGAACTCCAAAAGCGACCTTGTCTCCAGTCTTATCCAGCACGAACGCTCCCTGTGCTGTGAACAGAGTATCGAAGCCTACTTGAGCAGCAGTTCCAATCGACAGCAGCCTGTGTGTAAGTCCCGGAACATAAGACACAGGATAGATCTCCCGGATTTCTCCAGAGAGCTGAACCCTGATTGTTCCTTTGCCTAGCACGTCGTGAGCAGAGGAGTCACCGCGTCCCACGGCCACGGTTCTTGGTAGTCAAAGAACAAGGAAGCCATGGGCGTCATATGGAATGACGCTCCAGAATCCAGCCCGAGCACGGGCTGGTGGCTGCTGCTTGCAGAGCGAGCCATCAAGAGCTTACGAGGAGTCCCAGAGCCCTTGTCTTTGTTTCCTTTGTCTTTGTTCTTGGCAGCTTTAGCACGATCAGCTTTCTTCTTCTTGCAATCCCTCGCCAAGTGTCCAGGTTTGTGGCAATAGTGACAAATGCCACGAAAACCAGTGTCGTTCGGCTGAGCTTGAGAGGACGAGGATGATCCTCCCGCAGCGCCAGCATAAAGCAAGGAAGATTTGGCTGAGGGCATCGCTTCTTTCTTCCCCTTCATCTTGCGTTCCTTTTCAATTAGGGCACCCACGACTTGATCAAAGTTCATGGCCATGTGAGATAGAACAGATGCGAGCGTAGGCGTAAGCAGCAACGCCCTGGCGCGATCGTCCGTGACAGGAGACCCAGCACCAGTCAATTCAGCCATTAGGCCTCGAATCCGTCCCACGTACACAGCAATGGTTTCACCCGTTTCCATGTGAAGCGCCAAGAATTGTTGATTCAGCAACATGGAAGAATTTGCGGCTTGGGCCACGAAGATCGTGCGAAGCGACGTCCAGATTTCAGCAGCGGATGATGGTGATGGCTTGCTGATTGCGAAAATCCCAATCTGATTGTAACGTCTGCTCAGCGGGAGCTGCGGGACGAGGCTCAGTCCCACCAACGATGTTCCATGCTCGTTTCACAGAGAGGATCAGCCTGATTCTTGTCGCCCATGTGAAGAAATTCGTGCCACTGAATTTCTCCACCTTCTCTGTGGAAGCCACGAGAACTTGAGCAGCAACGGCGGCGGCGGCGGCAGCGGCGGTGGTGGTAGGTGGTGGTGGGGTTGAAGCGGCCATGACAGCAACGCCAAATCAACCAACCAGGATCATCCCCGAAATCCGATACCGAAATCCGAAATCCGTGTGATGTGAAAAGGGATGGACTCATGAGCTCGTTCATTGTGTTCCGTACATGACTCCAAGGGACATGACTCATGACCACGTGGACCTGCCACGTCAGCTGATCGTGACCTTTGTGAAATCAGCTTGGGATAATCAGTTTTATTTGCAGTTTTTAAGACAGATGGAGCTAAGATGTAAAATTTAGGTGAGATTTTGTGGGCATATACCGTAAGAATATACACTTTGGTGACTTAAGTAATACTGGACCAACGTAAGTTGAGTTAGAATTTTTCTGGTGTCCATTGTCATCATCACACCTCATCTTTGACTTATCATCACACCTATCATCTTTGACTTTCCAAATGTTTGAACTAGATAACTACGCAACTTCAAGTAGTAGTTCTAGTGTGAAACACTGCTACTAGCTGATGTATATATAGATGACTGACCCATTGGCTTCAACACACATTCAAAATTTTCTCCTTCTTTTCAGCTTGAACAGTCGGCTCTATGGCAGCCAAATTAGTGGGTTTGGTTTACTTCATATTGATGTTCTCTGCAGCAAAAGGCAGTGGGCTTTTTGCATACTGGGAGAACGAGGATTGTTCCGCCACTAACAATAACAGGATTTTCTACGGCAATTGTGGATGTACAAACTTCGATATCGATTATCGTGATGGTTATGAATTCTTCTACAACCGAAACGAAGTGACATATTTATATAATAATCTCAATTGTCAAGGCAATCCTGTTACTACACTTGCCCAGTATCAAAAGGATTGCCGTGATTTTGGCTGGAAGAGCATCCGCATATCTTGTAATGGCTTCTGATATAATTAATGATCAATAATGTATGCACAAGAGAATATATAAGAAGAATTGATTTCTGTTCGGTGATTTAAATTTTTCAAGTCGCAAGCCACGAGCAGACCAAATAGAACTCGAGCAGCAATAGGCGCCGCGGCCATGCCCCCCAAATCTGGAATCCCTAAATTTTAGTGTGTTTCGTTTACGCAAGTCTCAGACTTGAAAAAAAATAGGAATATTCGTGAAAATATTCCATTTGTGATGATGATATTCTGTTTTTTCGAAAACATATTTTAAAACAAGCAAATTGACCTAAAATTTCAAATTTCCTGCCATACTAACCATACACCACCTTGTTTTCCTTGTGCTTAATCTTGTTTTCCTGCTGCTGTTCAGAATCCCCCTACTCAATCAGCTCCTGTTCTTCTTCAAAACATCATCTCCCATCTTCCCAAAACACTCCTCCAGCTCACTCGTCCGTATCCTTTCCGCATCTTCTTGATGGATTAAAAAATGAATGAAAAATGAAAGAAATGTTTTGATCAATACCTCAACGTTGTGCTGCAACATAATTCGTCAACAAAGTTCTGAGAGCCTAACCTACACCATTGTCTTCACCATGATGATGGAAAAATTCGTTATGGATTAATCATATGAAACCTTTTATACAGAAGCCTAAGTGGTTAGGATCCTGAGAGATCATATGAGATCTCCAACACTCCCCCTCAAGCTGAGACGCCAAGCAGCAGACGATGCTTGAAGAAGAGTCTGACAGGAAGTGGTTTGGTGAAGATATCTGCGATTTGATCAGAGGATGGACCATGCTCGAGTTGTATGTCTCCATCTGCAACGCATTGGCGGATGAAGTGCTGCTGAGTATTGATGTGTTTGGCTCTGGAATGAAGAACAAGATTTTTGCTGATGGCGATTGCACTTTTGTTGTCACAGTAGAGTGTTGTTGGACTCTTCTGTTCCTGCTTCAGTTCATTGAGTAGTCATCGCAGCCAAACAATCTCTTTTGCTACCAATGTTGCTGCCAAATTCTCTGCTTCAGTGCTCGATACGACGATAGTGCAATGCTGAATTGTTTCTTGCTGAACTATGCTACAGAACCACCGGCAAGCAAGCAACAGACTCCTGACGTTGATTTCCTTGTCTCCAGATCCCCTGTCCAATCAGCATCTGAAAAAGCTTGCAGTCGAAACTGTGGAGAAGCTTTTTGTTGGAACAGCAGTCCAAAGTCTTGAGTGCCACAGAGGTATCTGAGAACTCGTTTTGCTGCTTGCCAGTGGACTGTTGTTGGAGATGATTGTATTGGCTAAGAACTCCCTCAGGACGAGTTATGTTGGCAAGGTAGAGCAGCCCCCCAACGAGTGATCTGTAACAACTCCCCCTCAGCAGTTGGCTTGTAGCTAGCAAGCATGAGTGTGGAAACTGGTCGACTATTGGACATGTTGAATTGTTGAAGCAGACGTTGTGTGTAGTTGGATTGGGTGAACTTCAGAAGGCCTGCATCTATGTTGCGAGTGAATTCAATGCAAAGGACTTTAGAAGCTTCACCGAGATCAGTCGCTGCTGCAAAATCTGCTTCACGAGGTCATTGCTATTTTCAACCAGCAGACAATCATCGATATAAACTGCCATCAATGTGAATATTGCCACTATCTTTCATCACATAGAGGTTCCCATCCAACTCCAGCTTGGTTCTGAGGTGTATGCAGATGTACCACTGCCTCGCCGTCTGTTTTAGCCTGTAGATAGCTCTCCAAACTAACTCGTGTCCATCTTTGTTGTGTTCCATAAAACCTGGGGGTGGCCATAAATAGATGTCCCGAGTTAAGGATTTTGACGTCCATGTGATGGAGTTTGAGGTTGAACTGAGCTGCTAATGCTGCCAGAGTACGAATGCTCGTTGACTTGACGATGGGAGAGAAGGTTTCTTGAAAATCAATCCCGAGAATTTGTGAGAAACCTTGAGCAACATACCGAGCTTTGTATGCCATCCCGCCACATGAGTTTGTTGATCCATCATCCGCTTACAATTTTGCGATCAGGATGAGGATGAACGAGCAAGTACATGAGGCGGTCGTTGAGATTGAACTTCTTCATTCATCACTCGCTCCCAGTATTTGCTCGCTCGTGAGGTGCTCGATTCTTCATATGTTGATGGCGTGTATGCTTCTTCTTCGTTTGTCAGGGCCGTCAAAGCTCACAGACTGGTTCGGGTGGATTTGCCTTCTTGATTCCGACCATAGCGGAGAGGATCAAATGGGAAGTCACGAGTCAGCCTGTCAACTTCTGGCACGCGTGACGAACCTGCTTGTTGCTCGAGCACTAGATCTGCTGGTGTCTCTTGGAGGAACTCACCAACCTCATGCTGTGAGAAAACCTCCAGTGGATCATTCTCCTCGTGATGACTGTCATCTCTTCGTCAAAGTACAGCTCCCAGTTCCAGTCTTTTGGCTCCCAAGGTGTTGAAGTTGCTGGATCCAGTTGATGTCTCGTTTTGTAGACATCGCATTCATCAAACACATCATCAGAACTTGTGAAAACTCGCTTACTCTCCGGATTGTAAAATCGCCAGCCCTTCATGCCAGGTTTATAACCTAGGACATAGCAGGCTGAACTTCGTGTGTCAAGCTTTCCACCTCCAATCAATCGAACAAAAGCGAGGCAACCGAACTTCCTCAGTCTGCTGATGTCCTGTTTTCTTCCGGTCCAGACCTCCTCCGGAATTTTTCCAGGTTTTGTCGAGAGATTCTGAACCTGAACAGCCACGAGGACAATGTCAGACCAAAAACTTAGCAGGAATCCTGAATCTTCGAGCAAGCAGCAGACTGTGTTCAAGATATTCAGGTTCTTTCGTTTGGCGACTCCATTTTGCTGAGGAGTGTCTGGACAAGTCCTCTGGTGAATGATGCCTTTCTCAGAGAAAATATCAGCAAAGGCATGTGATAGATACTCTCCTCCAGAGTCTGATATGAGAATCTTCAGGCTGTGTTCTGTTTGATTGGTTGCGAAGGAGAGGAAATCCCGAAAGGCATGAATTTCATATGCCTTTTCCTTGAGGAAATACACCTCACACCTATGGCTGAAGTCATCCACGAAAGTCATGAAGTAGCGCTTGCCGGATTTGCTCCAAGTCCGCATTGGACCACAAAGATCAGTGTGGACGAGTTCTAAGACTTGTAAAGTTGCAGACGTTGAGGAAGGATACAACCTGAGCTTTCCCAAGACACAACTGTGATGCAGCCTGGGTTGGCCTCTCACTCTAGAAAGTCCCTCCACGAGCTGCTCCTGTGCATCGCCCTAAGTGTTGAGCTCATGCCACATTTGGGCATCTGTAGTGAGAAACGTAGCTGCCCATCAAAATCCTCATGATGGGCATCTCCTGCACTGCTTGCAACCGAAGAGCTCTGAACTTCATAAAGGTTACTAACACGTGGGACTAAAAAAATTTATTTTGCCGTTTGAAGAGATCTTAAATTTCTTAGAGTTTAAACAGAATGTTCATCCCAGCATAAGTAAACTTAACTATTGAAACTAAGTTCTTGACAAGTTGTGGGACAAACCACCCATTATTCAAAGGCAAACTCTTCGAACCACCTTGCACCACTGCATCACCATTTCCAGAGACTTCAACAACTCCACCATTTCAAACTCGAACTCGACCTGCTAGTGAGCGCTTGAGCTTGGAGAACGCTTGCTCATCCTTCATCAGGTGTTTTTCACATCCTGAATTAAGTGTTAGTGTGCAAGAGGATTCAGCTCTGGTTACATCGTCTGTGACTGTCTCCTGCTGTTCTATTTGAGCTGAACCTGCAAAATTTGCTGCAATCTCAAGTCGGCTGAGCCACTGCAGAACTTAACAATCTTTCTTGAAATGCCCTTCCAATCCACAGCCATAGCATGTTGAAGCACGACGAGCTCCAAGATTGTCAGTTCCATCACTTTGTAAGCTTCCTTGACTACTTCTTGGGCGTCCTTCTTGAATTCTGTGTCCACGTCCTCGCCGCACCCGACCATGGCCATCTGCAGAAGCTTCTTCAACCCTTGCTTCAACTCTCGCTGACAAAGCATTGACATGAGAACCTGATCCGTTCTCTGCCAAGCCAAGAACTTACACTATGTGAGCTCTGAGCGGAGAAGAGTTTCAGCATGTTCGAACATTGTGGCTGCTACCCTCACTGCCGTGACGATTTCTGTGAAAACGCTGTCATCAAAACATTCACAAAGAGCATCAATCTTGCATGCTTCAGAGAATCCCACAGCGCTGCCTTCCAGGTCATCCCAATGCTCCTGCAGCTTGCCCACCAGATCTTCAAAACTGTCACCAATCTTGAATTCAGTTCCTTAATTGCAGTTTCGATCATGCTGACCTTGGAGGCCCGTAGTGATTTATGAGGTAGATCCAGATCTGTCGAGCAGAAAGATTACCCTCATCAAGATCACATCCACTAGCTTGGAAAGGATTGCTGTCTTTGCCTTATCTTCATCTTCTTGCTCATCCCTTAAAGTGAACAGACTCCTCTCATTAACTTGACAGAGCCTGAGAGTAACCCACCACCAAAAATAACACCACTGGGAGAACAAATTGTGGCGGTGCTGTTGCAAAACTCCCTGCAACTCAGTCTGGGGGAATTGCTTGTGTTAGCTCTGCACCTCAAAGTGCAGGTTGCAAATGCCATTGAGTCGGGGAAACCTGTGAGACCCTTAGAAGATAACAAGGTAACAATCTCAAAGGACAAAGCTGACTGGGATGAGAAAGTACCGACTATATCGAAAGGAATGAAGTCGGTGATATACCTATTGATGGAGGTTCGGGAGTCAATACAAGAAGAGGAAATGTTCAAGACACTGCACTGGAGATGGCCCCATTCCTAGGTGCATCCGGTTGGGATTGTGCCGGAGTGAAAATCAACATCAACGGAATATGTTGAAGCTTTCACTAGCAGTCCTGAAAATTGTTGTGTTTGACCATCGAATGAATTTTTATTCATGAGATTTTGGTCAATATACAACCAAAAACGACGCGTCTCCTGGCGTCCTAGCTGGCACTGGCGTCTGTCCGTACATTGTACGGTTTGCTACCGTAACACTCCCACTCGGGCAGACGCCAAGTGCAGCCCGAAACTGAGAAAATTTCGGCTGGGAGAGTGCCTTGGTCAGAACGTCAGCAGGCATGTCCTGAGTAGAACAATACACAAGCTCGACGATTCCATCTTCATACTGGTCTCGAAGAAAATGGTGTACTGTGCCCATGTGCTTTGTTCTTGAATTGATCTTGCGATTCTTGCTTAAGGCAATGCAGCCCTGATTGTCGCAATAGATCGCTGTTGAACCTGGAAGAGAGTGTTCCATGTCCGTTAGAAGACGACGAAGCCAGATGGCCTCCTTGCAAGCAGCGCTAGCAGCCATATACTCAGCTTCGCAGCTAGAGCAGGCCACAACACTCTGTTTCTTGATGCTCCAAGAAAGAGCTGCTTGTTGCAAGCTAAAAAAATAGCCTGTGTGTGATCTTCGTGAATCTGGGCAGCCAGCACAGTAGCCCTGTAAGCCTGTGACTTTTGGCGTGTAAAGTAAGCCAAAAGAAGTGGTAGCTCCTAAGTACCGAAAAATTCTTTTTACTGCTTGCCAATGTGCAGGGCTTGGATTGTCAAGAAACCTGCTTACCATGCTCACTGAGAAGGCAATGTCTGGTCGCGTGCACACCACCAGGTACATCAAGCTTCCCACGGCACTTCGGTAAGGAACGTTCGCCATTTTCCTCCTATCCGAGTCTGTAGAAGGAGACGTATCCTTTGAAAGTCTTAAGCCAGCAACCATTGGCGTGGGTGCAGGCGCACAAGAGTCCATGCCGAATCGTTGCAGGACATCTTCCACATACTTGGTTTGATGCAGAAAGAGGGAGCCATCTTTTCTGCGATCAATCTGGATGCCAAGGCAGTAGCGAGCTTCACCAAGGTCCTTCATCTCAAAATGAGATGAGAAAGCCACCTTGATTTTAGCTAGGAAAGCAAGGCTGTTGCAAACGAGTAGAGTGTCGTCTACATACACAGCGATGTAAATCACTTCATCTCCCACTCGTTTAAAGTAGAGATTCGGATCGTTCTTGCTCCTGGAAAAGTGAGATTTCACAAGAAAATCATCAAGCTTTTTGTACCATTGGCGAGAGGCTTGCTTCAAGCCATAAATCGCCTTGTGGAGCTTCCAAACGTGGCTCTTGTGTCCTGGGACCTTGTAGCCTTCTGGCTGCTCCATATAGATGTCCTCATCAAGCTCTCCATTCAGGAAAGCCGTCTTGACATCCATCTGGTGTACGTGCCAATTGTGCGCAGCTGCTAAAGCGAGCAAGGTGCGAATGGTAGTCAGCTTGACCACCGGAGTAAACGTCTCAGTGTAATCCACACCAGCCACTTGAGAGTAGCCTTTCGCCACCAAGCGAGCCTTGTAGCGAGAAATGGTGTGGTCTGGGTGAGGAATCCACATGGATTTCACTAGTTTACGCCCGGCCGGAGCTCTTTCCACCAAGGAGAAGGTGTTGTTCTTGAGAAAGGAGTTATACTCCTCATCAAAGGCTGCAACCCATTTGTCTCTGTTAGGAGAGGCAAGAGCATCGACGTAGCTGCGAGGAACTTCCGGAATGTCCACGCCAGCAAGCAATGTCTCAACCAAGCCTTCAGGAATGTCTTGAACGACCGAGAGCATTGTCTCAATCAACCGCTGCGGAGGAACACCTAAATTCGACCGGGAAGACCGGCGGGGAGGCTGATCCGGAGGTACTGCAGGTTGCTCTCGAGGGGAATCTGGTGTGCGCTGGGCAGCCGCGGGTGGTTCTCCATCGAAATATAGGTCATCCCTGAGTGGCGGTTGAGGCCGAACAGGGGATAGGGCACCCCTGTTTGGCGAATTTGGCAAAACCGGAACGCGTAGATCTCCCACCTGGAGATCTGGCGCTCTGGAAGCTCCCACTTGCAGTGGCAAGATAGGAGAGACTACCACTGGTTCCAAGGTTGAAGAAGAGTCTTCAGTTGGAAGAATCGGGGCAGGAGAGAAGAGATCTCCCACTGGATGAGAACGAGTGGCATTCTCATTGAAGTGAACGTCGTGGGAGATAATCAGCTTCCTGGAGACTAAGTTGAAAATCCTGTCAGCCTTGTGCTCCAGGCTATAGCCAAGAAAGATGCCTTGGTGGGCGTAAGCTTCTTTCTGATGGCCTTGGGGACGTGAGTGTAGGCCTCACATCCAAAGATACGCAAGTGATCTATGGCTGGCTTGCGGCCTTCAGGTGTTTTTCCAACCACGGCTTTTGTAGGGAGCCGATTTTGTAGATAGCAGGCGGTCATAACTGCTTCAGCCCAGAACATAGCAGGAACGCGGTTGGCTTGAAGCATGCTATTTGCGGCATCTATCAAGCTCCGGTTCTTGCGTTCTACAACACCGTTCTGCTGAGAGGAATACGGGGCGGTTTGCTCTCTTTGAATTCCATGCTTTTGAAGAAAAGCAGAAAACTTCTGAGAGACATACTCGCCACCTCCATCTGATCTGAGTCGCTTCAACGGTTTTCCAGTTTGCTTTTCAGCAAGAGCTTGAAGATCTCGAACTTATCTAGAGCCTGGGATTTCGTGACCAAGCAGTCCTGCTGTAATCGTCCACGAAAGTAATGAAGTACTTGGAGCCGCCAAAGGAGACATGAGGAGCAGGGCCCCAAATATCGCTATGGACAAGCTCCAAGACTTCTTTGGCTCGTTTTGCTCCACGCTTAGGAAAAGGGAGTCGATGCTGTTTCCCAAGCTGGCAGCCTTCGCAGAAGGAGATGTGCGTAGAGCTGTCAAGCTGAGGATCAAGACCATCAACCATCTGGTCCTTAGCTAGTTGAGCAATGCGTAGAGTGCTGGCATGGCCGAAGCGTTTATGCCAAAGCTCAAGATGATGTGTCTTAGCCGCCACAAAGGTGATGAGGTTTCTCCACCAACTCTGTGGCGTGAATCGGTTCCATACAGAGCTCGTAAAGGCCTCTGTTCTCACGTCGTACGCCAACAAATCCGAGATTGCCATCAGGAGTAAGGAACTAGCAATCAGATTTACTGAAGCGGAGATCAAAGCCAGAGTCTGTGAGCTGGCCAACTGAAAGTAGATTGGCGCTAAATTTTGGTTCCACGTCCCGTGATCTTGAGAGTGCGGCCATCACCAACAGCTACTCCTGCCGAGCGTCTTGAACCACCTCGCATCGTGCGTCAAGTGGTCACTCGTTCCTGAATCAAAATAAAACGTACTCTGATTCTTAGAGGCTAGAAAAACCGAACGTACGCTCACATAAGCATGTGCTTCAATGTCGAGCGGTAGGAGTGCTTTTGATTTCTTGGGCCGCTTCTCTGGGAACTTAAACCAGCAGTTCTTAGGTTCATGATTGGTCTTCTTGCAGTGCTCGCAAGGTGGGAATTTCCCTGATGAAGAGCTCCCACTTGCTTTGAACGGCTTCTTCTTCTGCTGCGTCTTTGCAGTGGTGTAGAACGAGGTTGTCTCCTTGTCACTGGCCTTGCGTCTCAGTTCTGTGTTCTTCAACGCGGTGAATTGACGGTTGAAGAGACTGGATCACCGTGTCGAAAGATGAAGGGAGAGTCGAAAGGAGATATTCGCACTCTTCTTCTTCTTCCATCTGTGCCCCAACAGCCATCAACTCGTCGAGGATCTCCTTAACGGCAGCGATGTGTGTGGGGAGGTGGTCAGCCTCAGACATCGCCATCGTGAAGACGATACGGTCCAGTCGTATTCCAGCTTGCAACTAGAACCCTAACTACCCGAGCCAGCAATCTCCTCATCCTAATGCGCCTAGTGATGCGTCTTGCTGTTGCTATTGCACGCCTACGCATCCTACGCTGGTTTCTCCTTCTCGTCATCCAGGATCATAGATCTGCTCCGATACCATGTTGTGTTTGACCATCGAATGAATTTTTATTCATGAGATTTTGGTCAATATACAACCAAAAACGACGCGTCTCCTGGCGTCCTAGCTGGCACTGTGTCTGTCCCGTACATTGTACGGTTTGCTACCGTAACAAAAATGTCCACGGCTAAAACTCCCTACCATTTGTTGCTGAGCAGACCGTGGCTAAGAGAGGCCAAAGCATGACACGACTGGGAGAAGAATGAGAAGACAGTCATTATCATCCGTGAGCACAAGACCCAGATAGGCAACATGGAGCAACCACAGAAATTGGAAGATTACAACTGGTATGACGGGTTCACCATGGAGGATGAAGACGCGCTGTTTTGGAACTAACTGGAAGTGGTGGAGATTGAGCAGGTAGATTTGTACCAGATCACAATGACACACGTGAACGCCATATTGGAAAACATGGCTGGACTCGGAACTGAGAAATTTGTATGGCCAGTGGTGGAGGAAATCCAGCCGGAGAC